TTCGTTGCCTGTGACTTCTGTGCCCCTTTCTCTGACTTCCTTTGCCTTAGTGATATTGTGCTGATCACTCTCTTTGTATATTGCCTTTCCCGTCACCCAAATTAATATGGGCCTCATCTCAAAACTCGCTGCCACGGAGTTGATTCCCACCTGTAGGGATCCTATAGGACAGGGTAGAAGTGCCCCGGGGAGTTTCCAAGACTGTAACTCTTGAGAGAAGTAGAAAGCCTTGTCTTTCTCTCAAGGGGTTGTTTCCAAGACTGTAACTCTTGAGAGGAGTAGAAAGCCGTGTCTCTCAAGGAGTGGCAGGCAGATGGTTTCGAACTGCTGACCTTGTGGTTAGCAGCGTAAGCATTATGCCCCCAGGGGTCCTCCAGCTAGTCATTTTCATTTTCCTCCCCTCCCCTCCCTGGTAGCCATCAAAGAAAGCTTCTTTCTGTGTGAAACCTTTCCTTGGCTTTTTGTCATAGTGACCGCCTGCAATTTCTTCTCTTGTGATTGATTTATTTCATTCAGCATGATGTCCTCCAAGTTCATCGTCATGATGAAGCGTTTCCTGAAGTACTTGTTATTCTTTAACAATGCATGCTATATGTTTGTTTATATAGTCATCTGCTGATGGACAGTTAGGGAGTTTCCATCTCTGTGCTGTGTGAATAATGCTGCAACGAGCCTGGGTGTGCATAGCTCTATTTGTGTCCTGGCTGTCATTTCTTTAGGAGATCTACCTAGTAGCTCTCGCCACATTCATTCAATCTTCACGCTGAACCAGTAATCTGAGAAGCTGGCAGCGCTCAGAGATATTGGGGTTTGGCTTCAGACTACCACAATAAAGCAATTACTGCAATAAAAATGAACCACACTGGGGAGCGAACAAATATCAGTAGAAATGTTCTGAAATAGATTGTGGTGATTGCACAAATCCTCTTAATATGACCAAATGATTAAATCATATGCTATGTGAAGGATATGCTAATAAAACGCTTTCAAAAGATGGACCACATAAATTTTTGTTTTCCAATGCCTATAAAGTATGCTTACAAGATACTGTCGTATACAAAGTGTGTAATAGCATCATGAGAAGTTTTAAATATTGTGAGGATTTCTAAAATGTTACACAGAGACACAAAGTGAGCGCCCGCTGTTGGGATAAAAATGGCGCCGACACACTTGCTCCAGGCGGAGTTGACACAAACTTTCCATTTGTAGGAAGGACAGTATCTTCGCAGCGCAACGAAGAGCAACGCAATAAAAAGACGAATGCCTGTACATGAAAAAGAAGGTGGCATCAGGATTAGAGGGAGACCCATT